ATCTTGTTTTTAATTGTTAATTAAACCTAATTAATTGAGCCAATTGTGTGCTAGGGAAGACAGATGAACTTTTACTGAAAACTATACTAGGAGTAGTGCACGATTTATATGCTAGGATGAAGTAGGGACGCAACAAGGGTTTCATAGGACAGTGTTAGGATACATGAACTAAATCACCGAACCAGAAGACCTACTGGCAAACAAAGAATATAGAATGATAACAAATTGATTATATTATAGATTATTTGGTATACTGGCGATTCTTGGACAAGCAAGGGTGACATATGATACAATAGGAGCGAATAAGATAATACTTAATAAAAAGACACCACTAGGAGAACTTGTAGTACAAGGTATGACGATTTATAAGGACAACAATATAATGATACCAGATAGTTATAGACAAACCTGTAATTTACAAACCATTCGTATAAATTGCAAGGGAACAATGGACGGTGAAAAACTAGATCAAGCAGATGGAACATATCTGTCCGTATACGTAGGTAAGCTATGTTCAATTCAATTATTGAGAGGAGAAGACGACGAAGAAGCAACCATAATGCAATTCGGGTTGAGTGGAGACAGGATAATAATTAAACAATTCCTTATAGAACCCACCACTAATCAAAATTATCAAATAAACAACCAATCAATGGAACCTCTAGAAAAGGAAACCAGAAAACGATCATTATCCGACAAATTGGAAACAACCACCCCGTCAAACCACACTGAACGTACAGTAACAAACTCTCCAGAACAAATAAAATCAGATGCAATTATCTCTACGCCTACTACAACCACTCAGGTACAAAATGAAGAAAATATCACAAAGCAACTGGGTACAACAACCACCCAATCCAACGTTTTCACCACTGTCAAGGAATCGCACGTGAACGCCACAATTGTTGAAGAAAATACTGAAATTAATAAACTAAGGGATGTAACAGAATCTAAAGAATCCATAGGGTCAACTACAATATGCAATGAACCAACTAATAGAAACGGGTTAGAATCAAAAAATATATATATTAAGTATTATAATGGGAATAGTAATATTAGTCATGATGATATCAGCAATTAACATAGCACGGAATTATAAATTGGTAGAAAGAAATAGATTTAATTATTTAAATACAATAAATCTTACTTCATATAAATCATATGATGATATAGACCTAGCGGAAACACAAGTATAACAAAAATATTTCAAAAATCTCCAGTACTTGAAGTTATTGTGAAACATGGTTACACGACCCTTAGTAACTGTAGCTATGTGACGCAAAAATGGATACTGTACTGGACGAATTATCGTAGTCAACATAGGATCTTTATAATTTTAATATCTAGAAATTAATCATAAGAATAGATAAGGTTGTACTCACCATATGTACAAGTAATTATTTAAGATAGAGTGTTGAATTAAATAAAACATAAATTATTGGGGAATATAATTATACATATATTAGTTATAGATATTACAGATTACTATCGTTGTTAATTACATAGAAGTTGACATGAACATGGTTACATGACCTTTAGTAAAACTGTAACCAAAGACATGAAAACGGAAAGTAACGAACAGTTAATATAATATTATAGGAAACCATAACAATAAATTGTTATGATGAATTTGAATTATTTCTTATGTAGGTTGTTATGCATTTCTACCATTCAAGGGCAACTTCCGTACTTAAATGAAGAATTTAAGAATGAGACAGCTATATTTTCCGAAAATCAGGGCGAGTTAAGGATTGTAGGAGCACATTGGGAACTTGTAACTTATGTACCTTTAATTAATTATGACAAACGGTATGATCAATTATTCAATGAAATTAGTAATATGTCACATAACTGTAAGGATACAATATCTGAATATGAAGTGTGCACAAGATTTGCACATGTAGTAAAAACCACGTTTAAAGAAATAGCGACGCAACGAGAACAAATGTATGAATCTATTGGTAGATACGTAGGAACTGATAATAAAATGTCCACGGTTGATAGGAATAGACGGGGGCTCATAAACATTATAGGTAGTGCTATGAAAACATTATTTGGAGTATGCGACGATGATTGTACCAAAGAAACTAATAATAATATTGAAAAAATTGAAACCAGCAATGGAAATATGTTACATATCTTAAAGAGTCAAACCACTGTAGTCAAATCGGTAGTACAAGGAATAGGAAACACATCCACTGAAATGAATACATTATATGAGGAACTAGTAAACAAACATGGCGAAATCTATAAGAAACTAAAAACAGCAGAAAATCATACATACACTATCGAAACAATGATGCTCAGTGACAGAATACATAACATTTTCACTGCATTAATCACACAATTTTCATACGAAACCACGACTATAAGTGCCATAATAACAGCCGCCAGAACAGGAATATTACACCCAAGTCTAGTAACCCCTAGGGAACTGGCTAAACAGCTAACTCAAATCAAATTAAATTTACCTGTTAATCTAAATTTGCCTATGAGGTCAAAACCAAATGAAATTTATGAACTAAGTAAAATAACTAAAATGGCCGTGTACTATAGTAGGAACCAAATTGTTTTTCTAATAAAAATTCCACTAGTAATCGAATTAGAATTAACCTTGTTCAAAATAATATCTATTCCACATAAATTTGATTCACATCATAGTGTAATATTAAAACCCGAATTCCAGTATGTAGGAATAACCAGAAATAGGAAATAGTTCACAACATTCACCGAAACTCAATTGTTGAGCTGTACAGAAACTGAGATTTTTATCATATGTCCAGAGTTTCAACCCGTACAACATGAATCGGTTAGACAACCGTGTGAAGTCTCGTTATTCAAAAATCCGGATGAGTTACCTAGTAACTGTGAGGCAGGAATTATAGTAATTACTAAAAATATTTATCATAAATTGAAATATGCCAACACATGGATTTACACTACTACTAGTGACACATTGACCATAACTTGTCAAGGCGAACAAGAACCGTACATAGTGAAGTTACAAAATCAAGGGCTAATTAATCTAAAACAGGAATGTAGAGCTTATGCTAATGATATAGTCTTAAATCCCACCAGAGAGGTCAAGTCAAAATATTATATAAATTTCATTCCCAAATTAGGTATAGGAAGTTTGACATTAAAAATCCCACAACTCGATGTAATAACAATACCAAAGTACACACAAAAACATGATTTATTAAAATTAGATAATGTACATGAGTTAGCTCATTCATTGAGTGACATCCAGTCAATGATAGACCAAGAAATAGATAGGCAGAGTGGAAATGCAGAAGATACTAAATATTATATGACGTACGTTTTATTAGGATTGATTCTGTTTTTGTTAATTATACTAGTAATACTATATGTAATATACCGTTATACTGATGTTTTGAAAAGAACCAATACTAGGAGGACAATATCGATAGGTGAACCAATTAATAGGAGTAAATTTTATACGCAACAAATGTATGAAACAATGAATAGGGATAACCCACAATCATACGAATTACAAAAACCTATAATACAAAGTAAGATAAATGAAGATAAAAACGTAAGTAAGGAAAATATTATGCAAGGTAATGAAGTAACAAGTACAAGTAAAGTAAATACAGGTGTTAAGTTGCCATCAATAATAAATGGTTAAAGTAGTTAATTGAAATAATGTAAAGATAAATTTAAACACGCACTTATTAAATATACTGGTTTGTAATTCCATTGGAGATTATGAAATATTTGTAATCATTAAAAATAAATTATATATAACATGTAACTTAACATTAAAATATTATTGTATCCAATGCTATAGTAATATAGTATGTTATTGTATTAGTTATTAAGGTATAATGTGTTAACAAAAAAAAAAAAAAAAATTTAATTATTATGTTATTATGTTTAAAAATCAGATGAAAAATATATTATATATTGTTATGTAATGAAACTTATTTGGACTTAGAATATTTTTCGTGTTAAATAAATACAAATAAACTATCATTATACCATCAACTTGTTATTTTAATTCAAAATACCATCAATATTGAGTTGAAGTGGTTGGTAGGTACGTTACACAATCAACAATTATTGATAAGAATATTTTATTTTTAACAGTAAAACGCAATTATTATAACTGAACCTCACCTGAACAGCTTTTGTGTGATGTCGTTTGGGTTTGACATGCTCGGTGATTAAGTTCTAAATTATTATTGTATTGATCTTGTTCTTCTTCATGTTCTTCATTGGACTAAAATTATTAAGTATTTATTACCTGTAATTAGTTTGGATTTAACATATTTTAATAACTTACCATAATACTATCATTATTATTTTGTGGAAGCTCATCATCATTTGTGGAATACTCGGAACACGAGGAATTTGTTGCAATGTTTTCAATAAAAGTAGTTTTAACATTCGATTGTTCCTGAACCACCTGAGACTAATAACATTATATGAAATTATAGTAAACTACTAATTCAAAAATCTGTGTTAAAGTTTAATTTACAATGTCACCAGTATTATTTTTTGGAAACTCGTAATTATTTGTAGAATATTCAATGGACGTGGGATTTACAATACTTTTATTGAATTTTACAATAGTAGAATTTTGTGCACACATATAATTATCATAAACTATTAAATATGCCACCTACTTATACTAATGTAGAGTATTCTGACATGATAGAAATGTTTTATACTAGTGGTAAAAGTTCAGTTCAAACATGTCGCTTATACCTACAAAAATTTCCCGAAAGAAGACAACCGTCACGATCCACGATTACAAATGTTGTACAAACATTAAAAGCTACAGGTAATATTAAAAATGTATAGTCAAAGTATTATGTATTATAACTAATTTATTCAATTTTAACATTTATGATTTTATAAATAAAATAAATAAATAAAATTTTCTAAATAATTGATAATACACATTAAAAACCTACAAAAATGATTAATTAATAATTAAACTTCAAAATGTAGATAAATTAATATTATAAACATACTTATACAATATTGAATTATATTACACATAGTACAATGTAGTTACATTACAGTTAATTGTTAATACATTTTATGCATTATATAGATTTTAAAATTTATATAATTGAAATTCCGATTATTTTAATTAATTTGAAACAATACATAATTTAACAGTTGATTATAAATAAAATACAAATTTATTTTAATTGAGTAAAAATTAATAAATCTACTTATAAATACATCTCATTACAATGCATTCAATTTGTATTAAAAATACAAAAATTATTGAAATTTAGTACTTAAAATGTTTAAATAAGACTTGATCTAAAACATTTTTGTTATTATGTAGGTACTTTTCCAAATGGTTACAGAAAAAAAAAAATACCGAAAGAGATGAAGCAAATACAGTAGGAGTCTGGGCTGCTGTTAGTTTTAATCCACATGCGTCTACAAGATCCATAGCTCGATGTACAAACATTAGTCATAACACAGTACACCGAATATTGAAATCAAATTCATATCATCCTTTTAAACTGCATTATGTCCATGGGTTGAAGTCTTCTGATCCAGAAAGAAGACTTACATTTATTTCCAAAATGATTTGCCTCTTTGATCAGGATAATGATATAATATCTAAAATAATGTGGACTGATGAAAGCCGTTTTGATAATAATGGAATTGTGAATCGTCATAATTCCCATTTCTGGAGCAAAACCAATCCAGTTTGGACACGAGAAACAAATGCCCAAGTTCGATGGTCCGTAAATGTATGGTGTGGTATATTGAACAACACATTGGTCGGGCCATATTTTTATGATGGCACTCTAAGTGGGCAACGTTATTTAGAGTTTCTAGAAAATACATTGCCGTTATTGATGGAGTGTATCCCTCTTGAAATTCGGAAAACAATGTGGATACAGCAAGATGGTGCTCCTGCTCATAATGCAAGAGTAGTAATAGATTACCTGAACCAGCATTTTCCACAAAGTTGGTTAGGTACCCGTGGTCCACTGGAATGGCCTCCACGATCACCTGATTTAACTCCTTTAGATTTTTTTTTATGGGGTTACTTAAAAGATAATGTTTATTCAGAACAGTCGACTTCTCTGAATGATTTAAAAGAGCGTATCACTAAAGCATGTAAAACAGTCACATCACAAATGTTAAAGTCGGTCACATCGTCAATATTAGAGCGATATGAAAAATGTACAGAAAACTGTGGTGGGCATTTTGAAAATTATTTAAAATAGATATTAGGTACCAACTGAATTAACTGATTACTGAACTAAATATTGTTGATGCATGTATGTCATTATTTTATTATTGTTATTAATATTTAATTCTATTAAACCGTTTTAATTTTTAAACGTAGTAACATAAAAGTTTTTTTTTACTATAACCTAACCAGTAATTTTATTATTTCAGGAATGCTCTTATCTATTTCTCTGCATTTTTAGCTGCCGGTGTAAATGGTGATAACTGATAAAAACTCTTAAGAAAATAAATAGTGATTACTACGTCTAGTCAGGTACCAGTGATGACTGATGATTGTTGATTACTTTATTATGATAAAGGAAAAAATTGTTCATATTTCCAAAAACTAAATAATTTGTAGAAAATTAACGGCAACACTTTTATAAATATTTGAACCATCAAAATTTTTCTAAAAATCGGGTTTATAAATTGGCTATTTTGAATTTTTCAAATACATTTTTTATAAAATTTAAAATTTTTTTATTTTCAGAAATAAAAAAGTAAAAATTTTTTTTTATATAAAACATGTAGCGCAAGCGTCTACAAATAAAAAAAAAAAAAAAAAAAAAAAAAAAAATATCGAATACCAAAAAAGTTATTCCATATGTCAGTACTGTTTTTCACTGTTTTGCAATTGTTCTTGTACTTTATTTGACTATAACATATTAAATCATTTCCAATACATTATTGCTTATTTAAAAATATACATGTGTATATAAACATATGTTCAACTTACAATGTCATAATCACTGTTATTTTTTGGAATCTCGTAATTATTTGTAGAATATTCAATGGACGTGGGATTTACAATACTTTTATTGAATTTTTCACTGTTTTACAATTGTTCTTGTACTTTATTTGACTATAATATATTAAATTATTTCCAATACATTATTGCTTATTTAAAAATATACATGTGTATATAAACATATTATGTTCAACTTACAATGTCATAATCACTGTTTTTTTTTGGAATCTCGTAATTATTTGTAGAATATTCAATGGACGTGGGATTTACAATACTTTTATTGAATTTTTCACTGTTTTGCAATTGTTCTTGTACTTTATTTGACTATAACATATTAAATTATTATCAATACATTATTACTCATTTAACAATATAGGAACATGTGAACATAAACCTTTATTTAACTTACAATGTCATAATCATTGTTATTTTTGGGAATCTCGTAATTTGTAGAATATTGCCAATAATCCGAGGAGTATTCAACATTTTGATTACTTTTTTTATGATTGAAATATGGCTTATTTTGGATTTCACGTGTCTAAAATACAATATTATTTTATAAGATAATATAGTTAGTAGTAGGTAAGTACTATTTCAATAAATGTATGGACTATAACTTACAACATTATATATGTTCTGTGAATGTTCATAATTATTAGAATGTGAAGAATCTATAATTGTTTCATTACATTTCATAGTACCCAACGGTTTCTGGAGTGTATGAAACTAAAATATTATTCAAAAATGAATTACAAAAAAAAAAAAAAATACATTTTAATTAAAAAACTTACAGATTTTTCAGTAGTGATTTGTGACATTGGTTCACTGCTGTAACCACCTGAATATTCACCACAATAATTGGAGGACTTTTTGATTTTGGAATTAGCCTAAAATAAGTTTAAAATTAGCCTAATTTATAAAGTAAAATATATAATAGATCTTAATTATAAAATATTATACTTACAATATTTTCTTTTGTTATAGGTTGATTCATTTTTTTATTAGGAGGAGTTGGTTGACAAGGAATATGAGTGTATGATGATTCTGTAGAATTTGTTGAATGTCTACTGTATACACTAGAAGTACGTTCAGATGCATATCGTTTAGGTTTTTTTCGAATTCGAACTTTATTTTCTACAACTCCATGCCTTCTAGTATCATAATCACTTTCACTCACACCCGACCAACATTTAGAGGCATTTCTAGCAACTAATTCAGGGTCTACAAATTGTATAAAAAACATTAATAATTGAAAATATATAATAATTTTTAAAATATAATAAATATTAACAATAAGTTATTACCAAATGGCCCAGCAACTTGTTTTACATTATACCAACAACCATCAATATTATTTGGTACAAAACGTTTCAGAATCATTTTATAAATCTGTTGACTACTAAAACTGACTGATGTCTTGGCTGCTTCACTTTTTGAAAACGGGAACCAGCAACGTTCAGTATTTTCATTATTAACCGGATTATTTTGTAATGAATACCAAGTATGTGGCACATGCTGAACTGTATTAGTATCATTGAATATAACTACAATCCAGGACCTTAAATGTTCATATACAATTAAAATAAATATGATACATTAATATTTTTATATATATAATTATAATACAATATGTACAAAGTAAATATCCATTTTATATTTTATGCAAATAAATGAATAAATGGTATAATGGCATATTTTTGATCATCCATTGGTAGACGAACAAGTTTTTCTTTGATATTACCAATTGGCCAATAATTAAGGTGCCCGAGTACTGAACATTTAAAAATATCAATAAGTGATGAATTACATGGAGTTAAAAATAAATCTTCAAGTTTTTCGTATGAACGTCCAATTATTACAACTTCATTAGTAGTACTAGACGTTGCAATATTTTCAATAAGGACAATTTGACCATTTTTTAATTTGACACAATTATCAGCTGTGTTAAGTTTTATTTTAAAATTAGTAGTTTTCCACCCTGAATACTGTGGATTACAAACTCCTGGTACGAGTGATCTATTTGTATTCTTACAAAACGTTTTTAGTGGCCCTTCTACGTCTGAACATTGTTTAAAACGTTTGAATTGTAATGCTCTACTTTCGGAATATCTGTTTACTAATTGCTGTAAGACCTTATGTCCACTGCGAACATCTTTCTTTAAAACTTGCATGAAATTTTCAAATGGGAATGCTGAAATGTTTTCTAAAGATCCAAATCGTTTTGTGTCATCTGCTAGATGTATTGTAGCATGAATATTATGTGATACATATTGTATACCATAAATATGTATAAAAGAATCTACAAAATGCCGAAGTAACTGATCAGCATAATCAATATATTCATTACAGTTAGATGGAGTTAAAAGAATTCGTATTGCAACTGATAAAGACATAAAGTTATTATATATTTCTGAACTAACTACATTTTGTAAAACAATAAAACTTGTATATAAAAGGAATTGCCTCAGTTCAGTTGCTTTCCACCGTTGAACATCTCTTAAAGGATGTTGTCGAGAATTTTCATTTGATTTTCTTTGGAATTCTTCTGGTATATACTTTACTAGTGAATTAAGTTTATTTTCCAATGCATTTATTAAATTTGGAGGTAATGCTATAGGATGTTTATTCTTAGAAACTATCCAATACATCATTAATTCTTTTACTACTCCAATGCAAATCAAATGCATGTAATCATAAGGTGTTGATAAAATAATGTCAAATTGTGGAATTTCATCAATTATAGTTTTACCAATATGAAATTCGCAATCTGTATATGTAATAAAACTAGCATGTGTACGTAATGGTGCATCTAAATTACTAAAATATGTTCAACTATCTTTTCGTTCTCCAATGCACATACAGCGTAAACAAGAATTTTTTACATTATGACCTTTAAAGTTTAGAATAAAAGATTTTGCCGGTGCATCACATATTAGAGCATATAAATTTACAGTGATATATTTATCATTAACTTTTATTCCAGTATTTATTAATTCTTTAAGTTCAACTACAAATTGCATTAAAAATTCATTACAATTTTTAGGTTTTGTTAAACGTAAAAATACCCCAATAATAAAAACACTACGGTACTTATAAGGTATATTTGAAAAGTAGCCTAATATTGGCCAACAATGGGTAGTTGGATTAGAAGTTAAGGCAATGCCATCAATTCCAACTACAAGAGATAAATGTGATGGGACTAATTGGGGCTCAACTTCCAATAAAAATTCAATTTCATTTTTAAACCCAAATGATGATAATCTCCACCATCTATTTTAGTTATTTGAGTTTTTGCAGGTGTTTTAAGTAGAGTTTGTGGATCATTTGGTAACATAGTTAAATTGGTATGTTTTTTTAAGAATTTTAATAAATCTCCAAGAGCAATATGGGTTATATTATGATGTAAAGCCCAGATAGATAGTTCATGACTTGGACTAAGTGATGACTGTAAATCAATACTATCAGAATTGGTATCTGAGCCAGCAGTATTAAGAAATTGAGAAGGAGAACTTATCAAACTACTATCAATGCTGTTGGTATCGTCGGACTGTATAATATAATCTGTAGAATGATTGAAATTTGATTCACAAATTAGTTCATTATTTGATGATGGTACTATTTCAATAGTTTTTAATTGAATATCCATTGGTTCATCATCTGCAGTAAAATCACTTAATTGAGTAGCTAAAGGTTCATCATCAGAAGAATCACATAACATAGTTGTAGCTAAAGTAGCTGCATTTAGTCTCCGACGATAACGAGTGCTTCTACTAACCTTCAACTTTTTATTTGAACTCATATTTATGGCAATTTAAATCTAAAAAAATATTTTTTTGGTATGTACTTTGAAACATTACTACCTATTTATATTCAATATATATTATTATAAGTTTATAATTTGGTTTGTTTAAATGTACAGTTATTTTTCTTTTATTAAGTACTTTGAAACATTACTACCTATTATTATATTATGTTTAAACTAAAAAAATAAATGATAAAGTGCATTATCAAAGTTATTTAATTATAATAATTTCCTATCACTTATTAGTTATTAAATATTGTTACCGGAATTTTAAATATTAAATATTTATGTAAATATCATTATATTATTATGTACATTCATATATATTAACGAACATGTTCAGTGGGTGCCATTATCTTCTTGAAGAATAAAATAAAAATTATTTATTTCTATTAAGTTTTGAAAAAGAAACAATACATTTGATTTGTATTTTTAATTTAATTTATTTTAATTGTATTCATTAGGTAAAACAATAATGAATTATTCAAAAACATAATATATGTAGGTATTAAGAAAATTTAGAGTCAAAATAATTTTGAAATATTGTTTTTTTGACATCAAATTTTATGGTGTTTTGAAAATTGCCCTTTATTTAATTTAAAAAACATATTTTTGAAATAACATTCAATTGACTTATAAAGTTACATAATATTCACAACTGTTATGAAATTTATTAGTGTTACATAATAGTATGAATTATCTAATAATATACTTTATTCACCTTAGGTTTGTAATAAATAGGTACCTTACATACAAAAATTTATCTTTTTTTTTTTCTGGATAATAATTGTTGATTTTTTATCTTTATCTAGATAATTAAATTATTATGTATCTTTTATCTTCATCTAGATAACTATTCTAGCAATTATCTTTTATCTTTATCTAGATATTTAAAAAATTATCTTTATAAAACACTGCTCGGAAATACAAAAAAGTCTTAGGCAAGTATTAATTTTTATATTATTTTTAGGTCTTAAATCAATATATTTGTCTATGACATAATATTTTTGAGAATAATATAATATATTATATAATATATTTATTAGGTATACCTATATAAATAATAAATAATAAGAAAAATATTATGAATTTAAGATGTATCATGTATACAATTTATATGTTATATTAAATTTCAATATACTGACATAATACTTGTTTATTTAAATAGGTAATTACCTTCCTATCATATACTTATTTCATTAAACTTTTTTTTTTTTTAATTTTAACAAAAACTACCTACCTTACTGTTGTTTGCTATTAGAACAGTCTCAAAATAAAATCTGTTGTTATAAAATATTTATATAGGTACCTAATATATTAAATAAGTACATTCAAATATTCACTTTAGAGATAGAAAAATTAAAACAAAACTAAGTTGTTTTTCAATGGGTGTAGGTAAGTACAAATTTCTGTATTTATGAGATAATCTTTATTAGAGTTGTAGGTAGATACCTAATAGGTTAGGTTAGTACTACCTAAACTAAATGAAATAGTTAGCCTGCCTACAAACAAGGCGCCAGGACCGGATGGAGTCCCGGATGTGATCCTGAGACGAATAATCGAGAAGAAACCAAAGCTTCTACTAGATACTCTCAATAGGTGTCTTGTGCAGGGGCACTTCCCGATTCCATGGAAGGAGGCCAAGCTTGTTCTCCTCCTAAAAGGTAACAAGCCATTGGACCAACCCTCGTCGTATCGGCCAATCTGCCTTATCAACACAATTGGGAAACTTCTTGAACGCGTCATTAAAGGAAGATTGGAGACACACTTGGACCAGATTAGTGGGATAAGTACACACCAATTCGGATTTCGAAAAGGGCGTTCTACAATTGACGCAATAGAAACGGTAATGGATGTGGTAAACAGTGTGAGTACAGGTCCGCGGTACAAGAGGGAGTTATGCGCTGTGGTATGCCTAGATGTGGCAAATGCATTCAACTCGGCCGCTTGGGCCAAAATCGAAGAAGCTCTAAGAGGGAAGAGTGTGCCAGCGTACCTGTTGCATATTCTGAGGAGTTACCTGAGTAATAGGTCACTCTTGTACGGCGACGCGGAGCGGCGGGAGGTAACCAGTGGAGTTCCTCAAGGGTCGGTGCTCGGCCCACTATTGTGGAATATAATGTATGACGAGCTATTGCGATTGGAAACGCCGGGAAATATAAAAGGCATATCAAGTTCAACGCTCATTGCATTCGCCGATGATGTTGCAGTTGTAGCGACTGGACATACAACTACTCTGCTAGAAGAGGCCATGAACCAAACGCTGGACTTGGTGTCAAAATGGATGAAGGATACGGGCCTTACGCTCTCCGTCGGCAAAACGGAAGCAATCATGTTAACTACCAAACGCGGATACACTCCCCCGAGGTTCATCTTGGAGGGCGCACTGCTACAACTGCAGGAGCACGTCCGCTACCTCGGAGTGGAGCTATGTAAAAAACTCGGCTTCGGCAAACATTTGCAGTGTGCTGCTGAGAAGGCCACAAAAACGGTGAGCTCGCTGTCAAGATTAATGCCTAACGTCGGCGGCCCGAGGCAGAAGAAACGTCAACTGTTGATGTCTGTCGCTCAGAGTCAACTGCTCTATGCAGCGCCTATATGGGCCTCAGCGTTAGTATTCGAAGTGAACATCAAGAAGTTACTGAAACCTCAACGGAAGATGGCCATTAGGGTGTCGTCCGCCTATTGTACCGTATCGACCAACGCTATACTGGTCGTTTCAGGACTGCTGCCCTTACACATAATGGTGCCTGAAAGAACAGCTATGCGGGCAGCACAGAAGGCGGGCTCGGCACCTCCGTCGAAGAAAGAGTTGAGACAGGAGTCACTAAACAAGTGGCAGAATGAGTGGGAGAAATCAGGGACGGGCGAATGGACGAAGAGGTTAATTCCTGATCTGCGGCCATGGGTCTCAAGATCGTTTGGTCTAGTGAACTTTCATATCACTCAGTTTCTCACTGGGCACGGATGTTTTGGGAAGTATCTATGGAGGTTTAAGAAGCTGGACTCCCCCGTGTGCCATGATTGCCAGGCGCCGATGGACGACCCTGAACATGCGTTTTTCATATGCGACCGCTGGTGGAGGCGACGAAGAGCGCTAGAGGTTGCTACGGATATCGAGTTCACCCCTGAAACGGTAGTGAACACAATGTTGGAGAGCAGAGCCAAGTGGGATGCAGTATGCGGGTTTGTGGTTGAAGTCCTTAAAACAAGGGAGGAAGAAGAACGGCAGCGGCAGCGACACATCCAACAAATCTGATTTTTTTATTATCTTACAATTAAGTATGGATTTGTTGTAGCCTGAAAGGCAATTTTGAGGGGATAGAGCCCCTCTGATATGTACATAGTTAAATAATGTGAGGATCAGTGCGTGGGAGATTAGCCTGCCACGGTCCAATTAAATTTGATGTAGCTTGTTTTTTTTTTTAATAAACGGCTTTCGGCCACTTGGGGGTAGGATTACCGAAAGGGAAAGTTCCCCCCAAGTAGCCACGGAGAGCACATAACAAAAAAAAAAAAAAAAAATGAAATAGTTACTGTAGTTACCTACTAAATACTAAATAGGTACTAGGTACCTCTAGGTAGGTACTAAATGAAATATTTTGAACCAGTATGGAAGTACCTAATGATAGTTAGGTATAGGTACCTACACATATTGTGCAATATACCCATTATGGCATTATTTCAGTATATTATAATGTATACAGAATATCAGAGCAGTAAAAAAAAGGATTAAAAAAGTACCTAGGTACCTTTAACAAACAATTACCTTAATGATCTGAGATTTTCAAATAAAATAACTATAGATAATACATCATATACTTACATTATAGCTGTATTATACGCAGGTCCTGCTAGACAGTTCACTTCTTTAAACTATATTAATATTATACTTCGATCTTCTTTAAATTATAAACCATTTGTCACATTCAGCTGCGATGATCGGATATTATACGCACTTATTTAAGTGATGAAAATTAAAACCACTACGACATTTTTCAACACTGATTGTCATAATAATTTTTTAAAAATTGATAACGGTAAAACCACATTGATGTAAATTGTAAAATAATATTATATGCGCGATACGCCAAGACCACGGTTCACACATAAAACTTTGAACCGGTGTCTGGGTTTTATTACAGTGTACTATTTATATAATAACGCGTGTTGGTCAATTGAACCGACGGTGATCTGCAGTGTAATAATTTCTGATTAAATTAAAAATATATATATATATATTAATATATTGATTTTGGTGGTTGGGAAATTTAACTGTGAACTTCCTGTGCACTTTATAAATTATAATATAATAAAAGTATAAACAATAAACAGAATGGTTTAAATGAACTGATTATGAACTGGAGAAATTATTATTTATATTTAAAAATAGATTTTTCTTGGTTGGGAAATTAAACCGTGAACTCCCCAAACACTTATGCACCAACGAACCGACTATGAACCATAATTTTATTTTAACCGTTCAAATGCTTAACATTATTTAAACGGTTAAACTGATATTACACCAATCTTGTGTTTGGCGAACCAAATGAACCGATAAACCGACCTACAACCCATATATTGCTACTCGGAATATTTCCGTCAACTATACCTCAAAACAAATATGTATTGTCTGAATGCGGCTTTATATATACAGGGGTTCAAGATATTGTGGAATGCTTCTCTTGCGGACTTGTATTACATGACTGGAAGAAAGATGACATTCCATGGATCGAACACTCGAGACATAATTCCAAATGTATTTATGTATTATTATCGAAAGGTAACCACTTTGTAGAAAACATAATAACCAAATATGGAAGAACTTAATGTAATTGTGAAACTAAATATGTCACTCGCTCAACTGCTTAAACGTATGAACGATATTAAAATAAAATTTTGTATTTTATTAAAACAGTTTAAATGTGTTATTATTCCATTCTATATCTTGTAAATACGTGACCTAATGGATAAGACGTGAAGTTTTTAATTCAATATATAAGGTTCAAATCTAGGTAGCAGATGTTTGTTTCATTTAATTTGCAGGAATAATACGAGATATATAATTAATAATAAGCTCCCTCCCTCCACACTTATCAATTAGGTCACGTATTTACTTTTTTGAAATTGTATTTAACTTTTTTAGTATAAAACGTTGTTGTATGAATAAAATATAATCAGTATACAATTAACACTCTGATAATCATAGTATAAATTTTTAAAACAATAATCGCCAGAACGAACAAAAATATATCGGTAAGTATTATAAGCTCGCTACAATATGATTTCACCGATTGTCTCAAGGTCAGAATTTGAAATTCGTCAAAATATATCTTTAACAGTAGATAATTTGTAGCTAAAATACGTTGAGTGGATTTAAGTTCTACCTCTAAAAGTGACTTGCTATTTGTATTTTCTAATCAATTTATATTATATTAAGACCAATAGTAATAATAATAATATAAATAGTAATAGCATTGATTATAGAATAGACAGATAGCCCATACAATGTTAATATTTGGCGACCATACGTAGGATGCAGCCACTATGAAGCGCTAGTGTCGTCGGGATGCAAGGTGGTGGTACCCCCATCATAGATTTTTGGCATAGATGTTGGGGGGGAGGGAGGTAGCTTATCGCGCGGAGCCCATCTAAAAATAGAATAATAATAAGAGACTGAAATGCCAAACAAAATCATTGGAAATAATAATATTTATAATTATATTATCACTATACTATCTTGTTAATCGTTCGCTGTGCAGTAGCCCGCATCTCGCATTTTCTGGTTCTGACGTTCTGTAGTGTGTACTGTGTACTGTGTAGACTGTAGACCTGTATAAAACAGTTCTGAAACATGTCTGGAAATAAGTGCCAATATTTAAATTGTGGCAAATCGAAGAAAATGTTTCCGAATTTAAAAATGTATCGTTTTCCAAAAGACGAAAGAAAAGAATTATGGATAATAAATTCAGGTAAGGAAATAATTTTAAATTTTCATAAAGCATTTCAAATATTATTTTGTCACTTCCTAGATCCTAATTAATAATTATTAATTTGATTTATTTTTAAGAAAATATCTATTATACCTATGTTAAGTGATTTGTAAATTTTAAAATAAATCATTTACCTACCTACAAATATTAGGTAATTGTTATTTTATTAACTTATTTTTGTAAATTTTCACAGGAAACACAAATTTGTTTTCTATTGAACCAGATAAACTCCACAATAGGTACATTTGTCAAGAACATTTCCCACCTGAGAGCTTTATTCAAAATTTTACTCAAAATCGTTTAATAGACACTGCTATTCCCTATAATTATAAATCTGATGCACAGCCATCTACATCATCAGGCTTTGATAAAAATGACAAATCTGAACAGGAGTATAATATTCTAAAGTCAACACCAACTAAAACATATTATACACGCTCAAAATCAGATATCGTAGAGTTAGTTTTTCCGAGCCCCCCTTCAATGTTTTCTACTCCTCAAAAGATTAAAATAACAAATATAATAGACATGCCTAGCCCAAATTTAAAAATGAAATCAAATTTGATTGAAATTGATACACCTAGAAAAATAAACCTAAAAAAAAAATTAAAACAAAAAAACAAATTAATTCATAACAAAATAACTCACATTTCAAAATTAAAAAAAAGAGTTCAAACTTTTAATACTCGTAATAATGTTAAGAACTCAATAAATATCCATAACTTTCCATCAATTAATTCCAAGGCAATCGTAACAATGCAATTAAAAGATAGGCGTCGTCCATGGACATTAAATGAAAAAAATTTAGCTTTAAATTTATATTATAAATCACCAACAGCATATAAATTTTTACGTACACAAAAAGTTAACTTACCCGGGCCATCGACTATTCGTCGTTGGATTGGTCAATCAAAATTCTTACCAGGTTTTAGTAAATTATTTTTCAGCCATATACAAAAAAAATTTGAGTCTTCTGACTATAAAGAAAAAGCATGCACTGTTTGTTTTGATGAGATGTATATAAAAGAATTTATAGAATATTCTAAGGAATTTGATTTTATTGAAGGTTTTGAAGACTTAGGTCATTATGGGAGGACCAATAAAAGTGCCAACTGTGTTTTAGTATTTATGGCTCAAGGTATTTATTCACCATGGAAATTTCCGATAGCATATTTTCTTGCTCATTCTGGAGTTAACAAAACAATTTTAAAAAATTTAATAATTGATGTTTTACAAAAGTTATTTGAGGTTGGATTGTGTCCAAAAATTATAGTTTGCGATCAAGGCACAAACAACCAAAGCGCTTTAAAATCATTAGATGTTTCAGAGGATAATCCATTTTTTTTTATCAATGACAATAAAATATTTTCTTTGTTTGATGTTCCACATTTACTCAAAAGTATTAGAAATAATTTAATTAATGCTTGTTTTATAAAAGATAATAAAATAATCTCATTTGATGATATAAAAAAAACATACGAGTTGGACAAACAAAATCATAAAAGTAGGTCTCTTGTCAAAATAACAGATGCACATATTTACCCAAGTTCTTTTCAAAAAATGCGTGTTAAATTAGCAGCACAATTGTTAAGCAATTCCATGTCAGCAGCAATTCGAACTTGCATACAAACAGGACAACTTCAAAGTAACACTTCATCAAATACTGCAGATTTTATTGAGTTTATTAATAATTTATTCGATTGTCTTAATAGCAGGTCTTTATATAGCAATAATCCATATCTATGTGCTTTAACTGATGTAGGTACTGTAAAAAATTTTTTAATAGGAGCTTCAGAATACTTCATAAATTTGCAAAAATTAAAAAAAGGAAAGTTAACACAACCGCCCTGTTTTAAAGGTTTTACGCAGACCATTAATGGTGTTTTGCAATTTTTCGAAGCAGAGAAATCTAATGACATTGTATTTTTAATGACTAATCGTTTAAATCAGGATAGGTTAGAAAATCTTTTTAGTATTTTTCGACAAAATGGTGGTTATAACAAAAACCCAACAGCCAGAACGATCAGAACTTCGATAAGAAGTAATTGTATTTTTTCTTTATGTACATCTAAAGGGACAAATTGTGAGGCAGCACAAGAAGATGCTAATCCAGTTATAATTGATCCAGTTAGACCACTAAATAAAATAGATTTTAACAGTTCAACATCATCTTCATCTTCAGATACAGAATGTAATTCTAATTTATCTCTCTGTATTTTATCATCTGATGAGGACTCAGTCAATATTGATAATAATACTGATGTTTCTTTAGAAGACTGCTCTGTTACATATTTTGCAGGATATCTGGGCTATAAATGTATGAACAAATTTAATTGTAACCAATGTCAACTTGAATTATTCATGGATAAAAACTTAAACGATAAAAAACAATTACTTTTAATTAATAAAAATTATATTTCTATTAATAATGAAAGTGGACTTAAAGCACCATCAAATAATTTCAATAATGTTGTAAATAAAATGTTGAATATTTTTGAAAACAACTATGAAAAATATTTAAATAAAAAGAAAATTAGATTTCAATTAACTGAGCTTGTAAAAAATAATAAAACAGTTATAAAATGGTTAGATGAATCAATGAAAAACTGTTTAGAGCATAAAATGTATATAATTGATCAACTTTTAATTTGTAAAATATTTAATAAAACAAAAATGTTTTCAACCACATCAAAATTAGCTAAACTTTCAAAATTAAAAATATTAAACCACATTTAAATAATAATAATATATGATATAATATATCTAATATACTAGACATACTTGAAAAGTCCTTTTCAGGACTAGGCATACCTACTCAAAAGGTCCTTTTCAGGACTACCAAATTTTAAAATGCTCTGTTTATTACCTATCTATCACTTACTATATTATTTACTATACGAAACAAGTATATTAATATTATTAGCATTCATACAATTATAATTATTTTTATGTTTTTAAATTACATTTATTGTGAATTCTAATTTTGTATGGTGGGGTGGGGGGGGGGGGTGATACATAGATTGCCTCACCGAAAAAATACTACCGGAACCGCCACTGCCTTATTGTAACTGTTGAGCATTGTAATTTATAATATAATATTATTAAATAAATAACTGATATTTTTCTTTTTTTCCAACACCATGCCTTGTCAAAAACAACAGAATTATTTAGCAGGTTGTAGGTGTAAGTGAACCTAGCATCATATCAATCTTAGTATTTTAATTAAAAAGTGTGTATCTTGAAATATTATGATGTATTTTAATTTTTAGGTCCAGTAGTAAAGATTAACTCAGTACTTTTAAAATTGAATACTGATTAAGCTGAATATGAGTGTCTAGTTATCAATCATCTGTACCTACCTACCTATACTACCACTTATAACAAATTATTTTTTAAAAATATCATAATATTTTGAGTAGGTACCTACTTCACAGGTGCTATATTATCAAGTAGGTATCAACTTAAAGTAGTTGTTTTATAGGTTTATCTATACTATGTTGTTTATGTGGCGGAACATTACTATTTACTAAAAACACTCATTTGAAAAAAAAAATGTCAAAATCTTGAATTATATTAGTAGAATAATGATAATTGCCGTTTGTTGTTATTTGTAGTGGCCTATAATCCAGTTAAAATGTTATAGATGTGTGGTAAGTGGCATTACATTTATACTTTGAAATGTATATAACATTATTAAGATTCTATACTTCAAACAATACAAATTTCTACGTGATATACAGATGTCTGATATGTAGGTATTTATTGCTTTTTTATAATATTATGTTCAGATTAAATATCAATGGATAATAATGGGCCCCACAGATTAAATTTGCACTTCTAATTCTAGCTACGGCACTGAGTTGTATCGCTGGATTTATATGAGGCACGTTCAAGGGTATATTTGTTAGTAAACTGAAAAAAGCGAAACCGAAATATAGACTCAATTACTGAACAGTCTGTAGAAACATTACTATGAGAAACAAGAAAGTAGAAACAAGTTAGATTAGTTAGAACTGTTAGAAGAAAAGTTGAAAATCGAAAATAAATAATAATACAACCATGCTTACTGCTTAGTTGATAATATTTTGGTAAAAATAATTGATAACAAACACGATAAACGATTGTGGTTGTTGTAATTAATAATTGCTAATTGATACAACGCCATCTGTAGGTAACACGTTAAAATATAATTTTAGTCGCTGAATACTCCTATGCCATGGGCTATCTGTCTATTCTATAATCAATGGTAATAGTAGTGGACAGCGTCTGCAATAACAAGATACGGATATAGTTTTTTTATTATTTTTTTTTTATTAATTCTTGAAATTGAGCATTATAAAACTCTGACCGCAGTCTTTGATAATATTGTCATATTATGTTATATAAACGTTTCGTCGAAGCTGATATTATATAATGTGTATTATATATATTATTATAAAAACTAATAACCATTAACCTTACATTGATAATATAATTTTTTAGGAAGTAATAATAATTTAAATTGCTGTTACGTTAATGAACAGAGCTGCCGCGGTCTTTAATGTTTAATAAAAAAAAACAAAAAAACATTGATAACACTGCAATATAGACGTTTAGTCGAAGCGAATATTATATAATGTGTATTATATAAATTATTATAAAAAACTAATAACCACTTCAACGAAACGTGTATATAACAGTACTCATATTATCAGGGAGTTAACATTTTCATCTTAAACATTGTATTGACAGTCTCACAAACTTATAATATATCATATTGTCTCACAACGCTCAACACAAACATACACGGAAAAAGTTCAATTTTTTTCAAATATTTCAACTTCTCAAATTAACAATGTAAGTATATAATATCATTAGTATAGCTATTATTTTTATAAAAAAATTATTATAGGTAGGTATTCGTACGTTACATATGGAACGAATCAAACGAATACGTGTACAATATTCAATTAAAATAGAAATTTTATTGTTGAACATTAGTTATGCTATCATAAAATAGTTATAAATCTAATTTAATGTTGTTTTATTTTTTTACGGGTTGAATTTTTTTATAAATTACAATATGTTTTCAATCGATTCAAACAATATACGAAATAGAACAATCAACAGTGTTCTAGAATCTTTAGAATATTATCGTTTTAACCCTGAAATCACCTTTATGTTAGTAGGAGATTATTATCCATTTATGGTAAAGGACCATGTATTAAATATTTTAACCGATCCACTTGGAAATTATACATTAGTTGAACTGTGTATACAAAATGTTGGGGACCAAAAGTATTGTAGCAGTGCATGTTATCATCATGAAAGATCTAGTGGTAATACGTTTCGAACTTACAATCCTTTATACCAGTTTGTTCGATTTAAAGATATACAAGCGTTTAAAGATTATTGTTATTATACACGATGTATATTATGTGGACGGTTCTTAACTAAAGGCGTTGATTTACAAAGTAATCCGTTCCCTACTAGTATTGACTCCGTACCTGTACCCGTAACATATTCAGAATTTTTTGTTTTAGATAGAATGAGAAATATATCTCATAAATAAAAAACTAACAATAAAACAATTGTCTAAGATGTTTGATAGATAATTTCTCATTTTATATTTATATAATATAAATGTATAACTATTAAAATTATTTTAAATGTATACACTGTAAAACATTAATTATATTGTTATTTAATATATATTTTAAAATGATGTTGAAAGATAAAAGTAAATATCAAAACCATGTTCATGTATCCCTATTATATGTAAAGGCTTTTAATGTTATTATATACAACTATCATTATAATTGGTTATTATTATTATTATAAATATTATCGCTTTATACATGCAAGAAAATTGTTAATATAATTCTTATTAGATATTATATTTTAATTATTACAAATATGTTTTATAAAAACTAAGAATGTATTATATTTTGTAAAAAGAAAATGTATTGAGAACTATTAAAACTTATTATGTTTATGTAAACCATGAGATTATATTATAAACATTGAATTCTATGATGTAAAAGATGTAAATAATGTTGAACTTATAGATAATACAAGCATGTAGTATTTTTTTTTATTTTTTTTTTCAAACGTATATGCTTGTACATATCTATATCTTCAATATTTTTTATTAATATATTAACTTTGTTGTGAAAACTTGTCAAATAATATGAGTTAAATATAATATAATATAATATAAAGGAAAAATAATATTGTATCGCTTATAATTATTATGACTCGACTTTTTTTATTTTATTCAATATATTGATTGATAGATAAATATTAACATTTACAGTTTCAAAATAAAATGGCTTCCCGTTCAGATGAAACTTACATCCAAAGAAAAATTGATGAAAAATACGAATTACTAGAAAAAACTTTGGATGAAGAAGACGAAGAAGAAAATAAACATAAAAATAAAATTAAAGCAATAAACAAAAAAATTAAAAAATTAAAATATGAAAAAAACAACTTAAACTAGAATACGAACAATCGCAATATACATTTTATAAATGTAAATTATGTATAAGAAATTCTGTACATTCACTGCACAGAGAACTAGAATCTTTGAATATAGAATAAAACTATATTCAAAATTAATATGTAATAATATAATTAGTAATTATTATATCATTGTAAATAAATATATATATATATACGTATATTCAATGTTGTTTAATAAATAATCGTTTTAATTATTAGATTTATAAATTATACATTTCATACTAATGTCGTTAGCTAAAATTACAGATAATGAATTTTTCGCATTCATATGATTATTGTTGTGAACAAATTCAATATTATGAAGAGCAGATTGCAGCATTAACGAAGATTATTGATGAAAATAAAATTAAAGAGAGATACGAATATAAAGATCTTAAAAAACAAATTAGAAACCTCAAATTCACTATTTATTTAAGTAGAACAAATTCTAAACCAAATTTGTCTTATATAAAAGAGTTAAATATAAAATTAGTTTTATTAAGAGAAAAAAAAAATGGATATATGTCGAAAATATAGTGATTTATATGTTACAATCGAGAACAATGTTTCGGTAATAGGTTAGATTTTATTACGATAGCAGAATCCAAACGTGAAAGGTTTAGATCAGGTTAAATTTTTTTTTTTTAAATTTTTTATGAATAATTATTAAATATATTATAAGACAATTCTTTAAATTCACTGTACAGAGAATTATAATCTTTGAATATAGACTAAAACTAAAATGTATTAATAAATAATATTATTATTATTATCATTATTTTATTTAAATTTATTTACAGTTACATAATGAAAAGAAATACAATCACTCAACGTAGACGGATGGAATCAGCTGAGGGCGGACTTGTTGAAATTGAACGATTTAAAAGCTGTTCGAGAACGTATATTGTTAAGAACAAGGAAGAAATAATAGACTACAATGTATTTTTTAGTTATGTTTCTGAAATGTTAATTTCTAGGTTAACACAATCAAGCCAGCAGGCAACAATTAAATTAAATTTATATGTTGATAGCACTATAATGAACAACTATTAACGGATGAAGTACAAGATATGTCGTTTAAAACTTCAAACGTATTAGCATCTAAATCATCCAATTTTAATAGTTTATTAAACAAAATGTTTAACAAACTATTATCTGAGGAAGCACAATTTATATCAAAAAAATCAGGCTGGTCACTTATATCTATAGATTGTTTACAATTACGAGTTAATAAAGTTAATCCTCTTAAAGGA